GCCCGGCGCGGGAACGCGCTCTGGGCACGGTCCGCGCGGCCCACCAGCGGAGAGGGGTCTCGGGGCACAGCCGTCCCTGCCGACTGGCGCCGGGGCTCCGGTTCTCGGCGGACCCCGGTTGCGCGCCCCTCCCTCTCTCCGGTCCTGACTTGGCTCGGTCCCCAAGCTACGTAGTCCGGACGCAGCAGGTGGGAAAGTGCGGGGCCTCCCAAGTTCTCCCCGACTTCGCCGTTCACGGCTGGGGTGGAGAGCACTCGAGGACGAGCAGGGCCCCTCTGTCTCGCCTGCAGTCAGGAAAAGTTTTACCTGCCGCCGAGGCCAGGTGCTCCAGCCGCCGCGCACTTTCCAGTGCGGTAAGGGAAAGCCGGACTGTCTCTGGGGCTGGGAAGGTGCGGGGCTGGGAGGCGAAGGAGGAGGGAGGGACGCGGAGCCCGCGGCGGTCCCCGCCTGCCCGGAGCCGTGCGGTCCCCTGAGCCCCGCCCGGGACGGCGCGCGGTGGGGGAAGGGCGCAGAGCGAGGGGGGTCCGAGTAGGTGGAGGACTAGATAAAGACGCGCCTTGAAATGCGGCGGGGCCGTCGCAGCCGCGCTAGAAGTAAGAGGCGGAGCGGGCGCGCGGAGCGCCTGGCCAACTCCCTCCCCATCGCCCAGGGCCGGCTGCGCCTCGGCTGGCTGGCGGGGCCGCGGTGAGGAAGGGGCGGCCGCTGCACCCACCTCCGCCGGGTAAGTCGCCCCTGTGCATCGCGTGGGGCTCGGGATCTGGGATTGAGGCAGAGGCAGAAGTCCCGAAGGTAATTTGGAGATGGTGCCGGGTGGAGACAGAGGCTTCTCCTCTGGCGTAACTGGAACGTGAGGGGACTGTAGTGATGAGCAGAAGGGCAAGAGGCGGGAGTAGCAGACAGGAGGAACCCGGGCTGAGGGCCGGTGCTGTGAACTGAGGTCTCTGGACAGGCGACTGAAGCCTGGAGTTTGGGAGGCGATTGTTGCCCGGGCGGCGCCTGGCGCCAGACAGTTCTCGTTTGTGTCAGTAGAGATCGCCAGAGGATCAGAAATGAACCTTGGTGGGGTCCTTGTCTCCGAGGGGCGCCCCCTCCGCCCCAACCTCCTCCCACAACACACACGCACACACTACCAGTAGGCTCTTTGGATCCCCTCTGGCGCCTTCTCGACTTTGGTGGCTCTTGGGGGTGGAAAGGGGGCGCTGCGTCTAGGGGAGGGTTGTGGGCCTCTGGTGCCCACACTAAAGAGAGAGAGAGACAGAGCCCTAGGATCCCCTTCTCTGTGCCCAAGGGCCCGAGGGCGCGTTCCTGTCCTTCCCAAACCAAGCTCTTAGCTGGAGCTAAGAGCGTGCCTTCCCGGTGCCACCGACAACTACTTTTCCCATCGGCCCGCCCGGCCCAGCTTTAAGTGCTAAATGCAAACCCGTTAGGAGAGCGGCTGGTTTTCCAAAGTCTTGTGGTAATGATTTTGTCACGTGTTAAGAAGTAAATTCAGATAAGAAAGTGCTTTCAGCGCGTTTCCTAGAGAAACCCAAATCTCCTGTATTGAAATCGCCCTCATCCGGGGAAGGTCGGGCTTGGCTGAAAGAACGTTCCTGAAGGCAACACTGACGATGCGTAATCTCATTGTAACATATTTAATCATTAGAGCAGCGCGAACGAATAAAGGGAAGGGGTTCGCCCGGGGGGACGTGGCGTTTGGTTTCCCAATAAACCCATGATAACGGATTGGCTAGGACAGGCTCGTTTGGCCCGAGGGGGACTTAAAGCTACGTTTTTAAATAAAATATTGGAGGGAGGCCGGTTCCATTTTGTAGCGCGCCTGGAGCCACAGTTCGTGTTCAATTTAACATCCATGAAAGTTAAACGGCTTTCCTCGCCTTTTATTTTATTGGATGCATTTTTAAAGATCTCATTAAAGTGCATTTATCAAAGTCCTAACATATGCCCGCAGGGTCTCATGCCCACACAATGAGGCTGATTAATAGGAAGACAAATACTAATTCCTATTACTATTTACATCCTCGGGAGATACTTGCCCCTTTTTTGGTGGGAAGGAGGCAGATAATAGAGAAACTGTTGTATATTTTGCCTTGAAAAAGAATAGGGAGAAGGAAGCTCACCTAGACTCCTTCCTCCTGAACCCACGGAATTAATCGCAGGGGGACTCCAGGATCCAGGTCCGAGGATCAGTTCTCTCCGTGGCTTCAAAGGGGGTTCCCGAAACTCTGGAGGAAAGGGATGAGGATTTTCCCCCAGACACAGAATCTGAACTCAGTCTCAGTCTCTGGACCTGGAGAACTTAATCTACCCAAGGCCTTCTTAGTTGACTTGGGAGGATTGTCCATCTGAGAGGCATCCACTCATTTTTCCCCTCCTGGGACAATTTAAAGAGTTAACATAATATGGACCAAAGAGTGTGTGTGGGGGGGGACTCACCTTAGACTTAAACCCAAAGCAGGTTGAGATTTCCTTTCCTTTCACACTTTCTGGTCCACCTGTCCAATGCCCACTTTCTGGTCCACCTGTCCAATGGCTGTGAGTCTCTCCTGCCAGAGATCTGCCAGGCACACTCTGGCCTCTTCAAAGTTGCAGGCTAACACAGCTTTAGGCCTCTGCAACCTAGAGGCTCCACTCGGCCACCCCACAGACAGCAGGGATTTCCTATTACCGTTTCCTTCTCCAAAGGCAGGTGGCGAGGGCAATTGGAGCTGGGACTGACTTTCATTTTCTGGTTAAGAAAGGTCCCAGCACCACCTAGTATTCCTGGGGTACATTCCCCGCTTTCTTTCATCCAGGACTTGAGAGCTGACACCCCTGCTTCCTGTAACCCCTGCTCCTGCACTGGAAGGTGAGGCTGAAGTGGAGCTGTTTTGGAGATGCCATCCTTAAGGTGAAGTCTTTATCGCCACAGTCAGGGACCAGACTGGGTGACATTTTCCTTTCTCATTGATTTCAAGTGCATGCCACGCTCTGAGTCTCCAACCGGAGATAAAATAAACCTTCCCCGTCCGACTAAACCTTTGTGTCCGCGCCGTTAATCCTTGCTGGAGCAGGAAGGTGCAACGCGCTTTGTTTCCGGAGTGAATGAAGACAAACGCTTGCACCTTGGCGCTAACCAGACAATAAACTAATCCACTTGAAGGTTGTTATCTGAGATGGGATGTGCGGGGGGCGGGGGGGGGGGGTCTGAGAGCTCAGCCACATACTGTACCAGGAAAGGAGTTTCTTTTCAACCCTTTTTCATTCCAAAAAAAAAAGACGAAGAAATGAAATGAAGTCAGACAAATTAGTGTTTCCAAATAAAGGGAAAAGACCTTGTGTTTATAATGATTGGAAGCGCTTTTGAGGGTGGGGAGTGTGAGGGGTGACGCCTAGGGCTGTTGAAGCTTTGGGCTCCTCAAGGTCTACCCCTCTTTAGAGCAGGCCCCAAGACTCCAACCCCCACCCCGGAAGACTTTTTCTGCCCTCATTCCCCTGGAAGACAGGAGACAGGTACCCTGCAAGCTTTCACCGTCGGCTTGAACGGGGAAGGATGCGAACACAGGTGGCCTCCCAAGAGGCCCCCGTCGCCCAGAACAGAGATGGGGGAAGGGACGGCTGCCGTCCACTGAGCCTAGGAGAGGCTCCCCTCCCCGTGGGGAGTGCCGCGGCCTCGCCTGCCCTCCTGTATCTTCCTTTCTTGCCTGATTTGCTGTTGTTTAGAGCGCGCCACCCGCCCCCAGGGGGCGTACAGCGGAGGAGTGGGAGGGCGGCAGCCGGGAACCCAGGGGGCCTCTGGGCGGCCCCGCGCCCCGGAGCGCAGAAAAGGCGCTCGTATTTCAGCTACCTGGGAAAGTAAACAGGTAAACACTGGGCCGACTTAGAGGGCCACTTGTCCTGGAGTGGGGCCACTTAGCCTGTGTACATTCGCCGCCCCTCCCGGGCCTCCGGTGATTGTTCAGCCTCCCTGCGCCCGAACTCAATCCGTCGCAGAACCCAGAGCAACAGAGCGAGGGAGGCGCCCCTCTAGCCTCCGGGGGCACAGGTTCTCTTCCTCCCCTCCGCCGCCTTCTCCCCTGCCTGGGACTTTCGATGAGTCCATTCTCAACCTAGGAAGAATGAATAGAGCCAGAGATGGGTACGGAACCTGAAACCTCGATGCGAATAAAGATGGGGTTGGGGGGTCTGGCTGTTCAGGTGACCCCAGCAAGGGTGCACGGTGTTCGGGACGCTAAGGTGACACCAAGCAAATCTCCTCCGGCCCGGGGCACGCTGAGTTCAGAACTTCCAGCACCCGCCTCAACTTCCTCCCCAAGGACTCAGCAGAACGAGGCCTCTTGCAGAGCGCCTGTGAGGTCTCCAGACCACTGCAGCTGAGCCCAAACCTGACGGAACGGAGGACACTGAACTCGCTTGGGTGCACGATGGCACCTGGAAAGAATTTCCTAAAGAATGCCGAGTGGGGGAGACAAGTGGAGCTGAAACTGGTGCTGGCAGACACTGGCAGACTGGAGATGGTGGGCAGTGACTGAAGGACTCTCCGGAGGAGGAAGGGAGCGGGGCAGGGCCTCTCAGTATTCCGGGAGGCCTCTTGGGGAGTCCTCAGGATGCAATCACCTGTTTAATTGGGGCGGAAGCGGTGCATTGGGCGCCTTGGCCTCCAGGCTCTTTGGGCGCACACCCGGCCCAAGAAATTGAGGAGACGCTGGACTGTTCTCTGGGCACCAGGCTTGCCCTGGCCGCCAGCTGGGCCTGCGCGGGCCTCCCGGCGTCCACAGGCCGCTCCTGGGGGACTTGCATTTTATGATCTTCCACTAACAAGCCCAGTTTCTCCCCTTCAATTACGGCCTCCCAGCGGTCACCCTGCGCCTTTTCATTTGCAAATGTTAACACTCCGGAAACGGACCCGGGAACCACTCGGGCGACGAAGTGATGGGGGAAATGGAGTCTCGAGGTCCCGGGAGGGAGACTGAACGCTGTGGACCGGCAGCAGCGATCGCGGAAGAGGAAGACCAAAGCTCTCTGCAGTTCCCTCCCTCCCTGTTCAGCTGCCCCCAGGTCAGGGGAAAGAAAAACTGGAAGACTCGCTGGGGTAAGCTGTAGGAGGCCCGAAGTCCAGGCGGTGGCCAGCAAAGGCAGGGTAAGTGGGCGCCTCAGGTGCTCCGGGAAGAAGACACCGTGAACTGAGACACGGAAGGATTCGGCTGATCATTAGGGCCAAGGGGCAGACGCAAGGGCAGAGAAATGAGAAATGGGCTGAGGGGCTCCTTCTCTAGGCGCCTATAGCAGCACTCCATCCCTATGATTAATTCCAGGAGCCAGGATTCCCCTAGGAAAGCAATCCTCTCTCAGATGCTCTGTGGACCTTGCAGGGTCCCACGATTGAGGGGAGGGGACTCGATCAATAGCAGCGGTGCTGATTTAGATCCTGGGAAGAAAGGTCTACTATGCTGGCGAAGGGGGAGAGAAGTTGGGAACTACATGGAACTTCGAGGTGGTTCCCAGCTGAAGAAATGAACGCGCTGTGGAAGGCCTCTGTGGGCATCCCCCACCTAAGGTGGCTGTGGGGATATGCGAGAAAGGACACTTCCTGCCAAAGACCCCTTTGCCACCCCACCCAAGAATTTGCCTGGCGCAACCAGGCTCTGTTCTGGATCCCCATCCTGGAGGCTGCCCTGGTCCCCAAGAGAGCCTCCACCCCCTTAGGACCGAGGAATAGGAGGAGGAACAAAAGGAGTGTCTTTGCTGCACCGCTTGGATAGAGGAACTTTTTTTTCTCACCAGTTATTTATTTAACAGCTGAGTAACAATGGCAGCGGCAGGCCCACCCTCCCCCCCGCCTCTGGATCCAAATTCGACTCTTCCCTGACTCCTGGAGAACCAACTTCCCTCCTCCGACGGGGCAGAGCGAGGAGCTCCCACGTGAAAGGAGGGGGGAGGCTGAGAAAGACAGAGACTAAAAAGCGAGGGAAAAAGAAAAAAAAAAAAAGCACTAAAGTAATGGGTTCGAGAAACACGATTCAAACCAGTTTTTAATTCTTGCAGGGAAAAAAGGGGGGATGGAGGGGGGGGAGAAGAAAAGAAAAAGTAGGAGGAGAAAGAGGAATCGGGGAGCCTCGACATGAAGGGGTTTCCTTAATATTGTGGACGGATTCAGAAATGAATGAAGAGATAGTCCATTGAAAAGGGTTGAATGCCATGACAACTAGGAACAACCTTAGATTTATTCCAAACAGTTAGGACACATTGAAAGAGAGCGTCAATCATGTATTATTTCGCCACTGAAATAAATGCAAAAACCGAGCCGGGACAAAGGCTTCCAACGGGAGCGGGACATTTGTCTACATTTCGCTCATTGTCCGCAGCTTAGCAATCGGTTTGTATTTGTGTTTGCCGGGGTCCGACCACCCAGGACGCGCCGACGAGGGGCTCACTCTAACCTGGGCCATTGTCACCCACGTCACATACTGGGGGCGAGGCAGCGAGGGCTGCAGAAAGCCGCCGAGCGGCTCGGGGAGAGGCGCCCTCACCCGGCGCTGGCAACCCCAGGGCAGCGGGGGCGCGGCGGCGGCCACGGCAGCTGCGCGCGAGCAGGACCCGGCGCCCGCGCGGTCAGCTTGGCCGGCGCCAAGGCGGCCCAGGCTGTGGGAAGACAAGACCCGGACCCTGCAGGGGCGGCCTTCTGTGCCCTCCCCGCCCCCAGACAAAGCTGCCTCCTGACGCTCCTCGGGGGCGAACGAGCATCAGGTAGCCAATATACCCCACAACGCACAAACATGTTCTTTAACTGAAGGAGAGGCATGGTCTTTTCCAACCCCAGCGCCGAGGAGGAGGTGCAATCCCGGGAAAGTTCAGTTCCCAGAGCAGAGAGTGGTTGGAAACTTCACACTAACCTGACTTAACCTGGAAACGTGGAGCGCGTACTCCGAACGCGCCCAGGGCGTTCAAAAGGAGACCACACTAAAGAACTCGCATGGGAGAAAAAAACTGGAGAGAAAACGCGGTGGCGTCGGGCCGCCCAGTGACCCCCCTCCCCCGCAGCTTTCTGGGTCCTCACCCAGGCTGTAGAAACAACCCCCACCCCACCCCCATCCCGCCCCGCTGCCTTCACGCTGCTCCACCTCTAATCGGAGGCTGGAGTTGGAGGGGGCAAGAGAGGGAGGGATAATAGAGGGCAGGAAAGAGCGGGGCTGTCTGCCCTTTCCTCCACACGGGGAAAGCGGCCCGCGGAGCCCAGAGGCCGCAGGGCCGGGGTCCGACCCCAGCCGAAGTTGGAGCTCCCGACTCTAACCCCGCCCTCCCCGGGACCGCCCGCAAAGCAGAAAGTGAACTGTGCGTCCTCCTCCGCAGCAAAGAGGTGGAGGCGGGGGCTTGGGGGTGGGAGGTGGGGGGAGGCGGAGTGAAGGAAATAAATGAGTCTTTAGCAAATAAAGGGTGGCTGGAGGGGGGCGGGTCGCTTGGTGGTGGCTCTGGCCGGCCGGGAGCGGAGCTCTCTCCTGGGTTTCGGCCTCTCTCGCGGTTAACTGGAATCAATTACTTGCCTTGTCATTTCTAGCACTCATCCTTAAGCCTCAACCAAAATATTGACCTAGGAGGCTTACAGAAGTTGGGCTCTTGCCATTTGAACCGGATCTTGTTTAGGGAACCACCAGCGATGGAAAGGAGAGATTTCCGCAGCTCGGCCTTCGCCCCCTCCCCATTTTCCATAGGCGCCACAAATCGCCAATTTTCCGGCTTGCCGGGGGTGGGCACGCGGGGGCGGGGAGGTAGGAACCAGTGAATGTTAAAGAGGGTTTTTTTTCCCCCTTCTCTTGGTTTCTGTTTTGTTTCCTCTTCTCCTCCTCCCCACCCCCACCTTTTTTAAGATGCAATTTGTTAAAACGGCCCTTTCAAGTGTGTGGACTCGCGAGCGACGCGGTGGCCCTTTGTATGTAAATACTGGGTTAAAAAAAAAAAAGGCTCGCCCCGTCTTTGCAATTAATTGACACGTTACACCTCTCATCTTGGTCTAGAGGGCCGTTGGCTGGGAGCGCGGAGCTCCCCAAAACCCACAATTTCACATCTGCAAATACTGTCTTCATCCACTTGACTCCCAAGACCCGCCCACACGTGGCCAACCTTTGCGTTTTTAATATCTCTTCCCCCTTTTTTTTCCACCCTTCTCCCGCTCCCTCTCTCGCTCCCCCTCCCTCCCTCTTTCTTTCCCTCCCTCCCTCTCTTTCTCCCCCTCTCCCCCCCTCCCCAGGTTCGTGAGTGGAGCCCAGCCTTATATGGACTGATCGCTCGGGCAATGGCCCATTTTTTCCTCGCCACCAGCCGCCACCGCGCGCCGAGCGGCCGCCGGAGCCCGAGCTGACGCCGCCTTGGCACCCCTCCTGGAGTTACAAACTAAGGCCGGGGCCCGCGGCGCTCGGCGCGCAGGCAGCCCAGCTCCCTACGTCCATTTCCGCGTGTTTTCAAAGAAGACAGAGGCACTGGGTCGGGCTTCATTTTTTCCTCCCGCATCCCCAGTTTCTTTCTCTTTTTAAAAATAATTATTATACCAATAATTAAAGCCAATTCCCTCCTCCCCTCCCCCAGTCCCTCCCCCCAACTCCCCCCTCCCCCGCCCGCCGGGCTGGGGAGAGCCACGAATTGACCTAGTGAAGCTACAACTTTGCGACATAAATTTTGGGGTCTCGAACCATGTCGCTGACCAACACAAAGACGGGGTTTTCGGTCAAGGACATCTTAGACCTGCCGGACACCAACGATGAGGAGGGCTCTGTGGCCGAAGGGCCGGAGGAAGAGAACGAGGGACCCGAGCCCACTAAGAGGGCCGGGCCGCTGGGGCAGGGCGCCCTGGACGCGGTGCAGAGCCTGCCCCTGAAGAACCCCTTCTACGACAGCAGCGACAACCCATACACGCGCTGGCTGGCCAGCACCGAGGGCCTCCAGTACTCCCGTAAGTAGCGAAACTTGGCTGCCGAGGCCGTGGTAGCCTCCATTCCCGCGGCCGCAACTCGGGTTGGACACTGGGAATGAAAGGGGAAGGGGCCATGTAAGCCCAGACCACCTCACACGGATCCCTAGAAAGATTTTTAACACTTGTATGTATAGGATGCCCTCTGCCCTCCTCTTCACATCCCCGTAGTTCCGGGAAAGGACTCGATCACCGATATTTTTTTCAACGCGAGAAATTAAGGAGAAAGAGGGAGAAGGGCTATACCTCCCAGGGGCCGGTATATGATGTCAACTGGGACTGAGGGCTCCAGCCGGACCCCCAACTTCAGCCGATGGGAGGGACTGGAGGTAGCCAGCGAGCCTCATCCGGTACGGATGGAGGGTGGGGAGACTTCGGGTGGCCCGGGTATAAATAGCTCACCCTGCCCCCTGCGCGATCATAGAGGACGCTTTGTGCGGTGCAGGGGGTGTCTAGAAAACCCGAAAGCAGAAACCAAAGCCCCCAAAAACCTTCCTCAAATGGCCGAGGAGATCAATGCTGGGATTGTGGGGTTTTTCTTTTAAAAATCTGCCCACGTCTCTCCCGAGAGGAAACGGCTTAAGGGGGCCGAAGCCCTTAACCCGCGATGATCTTTGGTGCACCACTCCCCCCAAATTCTCACCCACACTTTGGGATCCCCTAGAAACGCGAGCCCCAGCCCCCTCTCCTGCCAATTTCCCTCTTTACCCTGGGAGGCCTAAACATCTTCGTCAGGCGTGGAGCTAGTCAGGGGTCACAGCAAAGGCAGCCGGGCTGGGCTGCCAGGCGCGGAGGGCCAGGGGCGCACGGAGGATCTGGGGTGCTCCGAGTCTGGTGCGGGCTGCGCGCGGCCTCCAGGCGCCTGACGCGCTTCTTTCTCCCCCTCCCCCAGTGCACGGTCTGGCAGCCGGCGCGCCCCCTCAGGACTCAAGCTCCAAGTCCCCGGAACCCTCGGCTGACGAGTCACCGGACAATGACAAGGAGACCCCGGGCGGCGGGGGGGACGCTGGCAAGAAGCGGAAGCGGCGGGTGCTTTTCTCCAAGGCGCAGACCTACGAGCTGGAGCGGCGCTTTCGGCAGCAGCGGTACCTGTCCGCGCCGGAGCGCGAGCACCTGGCCAGCCTCATCCGCCTCACGCCCACGCAGGTCAAGATCTGGTTCCAGAACCACCGCTACAAGATGAAGCGCGCCCGGGCCGAGAAAGGTATGGAGGTGACGCCCCTGCCCTCGCCGCGCCGGGTGGCCGTGCCCGTCTTGGTCAGGGACGGCAAACCATGCCACGCGCTCAAAGCCCAGGACTTGGCAGCCGCCACCTTCCAGGCGGGCATCCCCTTTTCGGCCTACAGCGCGCAGTCGCTGCAGCACATGCAGTACAACGCCCAGTACAGCTCGGCCAGCACCCCTCAGTACCCGACAGCACACCCCCTGGTCCAGGCCCAGCAGTGGACTTGGTGAGCACCACCCCAACCAGACTTGCGCACCAGGCCCAGGCCCCACCCCGGCGGCGGCGGCGGCGGCGGCGGCGGCGAGGAGGCCTCGGTCCTCATGGTGGTTCTCATTATTATTATTATAAATATTATGGAATCGAGTTGACTCTCGGCTCCATCAGGGAGGCGCCGGGAGGTGGCCTGCGTCTCCTTGGAGTGGCAGATTCCACCCATCCAGCTCTGCCCAAGCCTCTCCTTCTGAACCTTTGGAGAGGGCTGAACTCTACGCCGTGTTTACAGAACGTTTGCGCCGCTTCGCTTCTTTGCCTCTCCCCGGGGGGACCAAACCGTCCCAGCGTTAATGTCGCCACTTGAAAACCAGAAAAAGACCGATCCCCACCCCTGCTTTCGTGAATTTTGTAAAATATGTTTGTGTGAGTAGCGATATTGTCAGCTGTCTTCTAAAGCAAGTGGAGAACACTTTAAAAATATAGAGAATTTCTTCCTTTTTTAAAAAAATAAGAAAATGCTAAATATTTATGGCCATGTAAACGTTCTGACAACTGGTGGCAGATTTCGCTTTTCGTTGTAAATATCGGTGGTGATTGTTGCCAAAATGACCTTCAGGGTGGGCCTGTTTCCCTTCTGGGTCCAACTCCTTTCTTTGCGGCTTTTTTGGGTTTGGTTATATTTGCGTTTTCCCCTGCTTTCTTCCTTTCTCTTTTTATTTTATTCAGTGCAAACATTTCTCAAACATGGAAAAGAAAACCGTGTAGGTAGGGAGCCCCCTGCCCCATCCTCCGGGCCTTGAGCCCCGAACTTGGAGCTCAGCGGTTCCGCGCGGTTTCCCCAAGAGCGCCGGGCGCTGAAAGCTTTCCATTTTTTAAATAAGAATTTTAATAAAAATCCTGTGTTTAAAAGAACAAAATGCCCGGCCCTCCGGTTTGTCCGACTTCGCCGGGCTGGAGGCCTGGGGCTGGGAGCGGGACCCGGCCGCCCAAGGGGCTCCCACCGGCGGTTCCTCTTGGGCGGGGAGGCCGGGGGCACCATGGCCCTGGGGCGGGCGGGGCTCCTGGTGCAGGCCACTCCGACCACAGGCTGCACCCCGCGCCTAGGATTGGGGCAGGGGCGGGAACGCTGGGCCTCCGAGCCGTCGGCCCCAAGCCCAGGGTCGCCCACTCTCTCCCCACCGGCCTCTCCTCTGGCCTCGCGCGCTGTCTGAACCCCGGGCGGCACCGTCCGGCTTCGGAAGGAAAAGTGGCTTAGGGAGCCGCAAAGGCGAGGAGAGCAAACCCCCCTCGCTGCCCAAATCTACGAGTGGCTCTTTCAGCCTGAGAAGCTGTTGAAGCCACTACACTGGATGACTTTCACTTTGTTGCGTTTGACTTACCTCACGCTAAGAAAGTGGGTGTGTGGGGGTCTGAGGTTAAGACTGGCTGCTTTCTCGCCACCCCTTTTCAAAATCTGCGGGCTGTTGCCGGCCTAGGAGACCACTAAGGCCGAGGGTGGGAGCGGTCAGGGCGCGCTAGGCTTTGGCTTTGGCTGGGCCGGAGGAGTGGAGGAGGGGGGTGGTACGCGGGGTCCTGGGCCCGGGGGAGGGAGGAGACACTGCAGCCTTCTCTAGGCTCTTTGGCCCCAGGGAGCCAGGGAGCAAGGGAGCGAGAATCTTTGGCAATCCCAGCAAACCGTGCCTACCCCTTCCCTTCCTCTCCCATCCTTTCCGGGCTTCCTAGCCTCTCCCCGGGGACTGGATCCCAGGCCTCCTCCCCGCCAACGTTCGGCGGTGTGCGGTTCCCCCAAGTCACCCCTTGGGCGTGGGACTGGGTGGATTGGTAGGAAATAGAGGTTTGAGGGTGAAGTGGGCGCCCAGGACGGAAAGTGGGCATACAGCCCCCGGCTCGCCCTGGAAGGGCGCGTCTATCTTTCCAGTGGGGAACTGATTCCGCCCCACCCTTGTCGCTGGGGGCAGATCTCCTTGGCGGATGCTGGCGCACACTTGGCCACGCGGGGGAGCGTCTCAGGGGGCCTGGTGAACTAGAGGGTGAGCCTTTCTTCTCTGGTTTCTGAAAATAGTAGGGGCTCTGTAGCTCAGAGCCAGGCAGGTTCTTCCATACGCGAAAGTCGGCGCATTTGGAAATTGTAGCTGTTCTCTCCGAAGCTGCACCTTCAAGGCTGGGAGGTGGGGTGGCAGTGAGGAGGCCAGGCAAAGGGAGCGGTCCCAAATGACTTTCTCGCTCCCTCTAGTTGATGATCAGGTTTAATTCAATATCTAAAGCAAACATGATTATCCGTGCGACCAAATCTGCGCGTCGATAACACTCAGCGCAGCAGCCCAGGGACGCGATGACACTTTATTCCCGCCTTCCACACCAGCACTGGATAATTGAGGGCTCGGGAGTCTTTCTAATATCCTGGTAAAGGTCCTTTCCCATCTCCAGGCTTATCCTCGGGGAAAGGGCAGTTTTTCTAAATGCTAAAAGGTCTCTCTTTGTTCTCCACACTAGCTTGGCAATGTTTGGGGGTTTATGTCTTGCTGTTTGTAAAGGCCAACGAATTTTTCCCAAATAGTTTGTTGTGCAATAATTGAATGCTCAGCGTGCCCGGGTTCTAACCACTCCACATCCACCTGCAACTTCCCCTAACCCCAAAATCTTCTGGGAAGAAAGGTGGGGGTTTCCAGTCTCTTGGAGTGAAGTTGTCAGAAGGCCTATAGCAATTTTGACTGTTCCAGGCTCCAGGGTTTCCAGGGTGAGAATGATTACAAGAGAACCCCAGGTTTCCAGAGAGGAAGGGGCAAGAGTGGAAGGTCCTCACTCTGGCAGGCTTCCACCACTTGCTCATTGAGGACACATTTGGAGCGGTGGCCAGGACCGCGGGCCTGCAATCTGGGTGTGCACTCCTGAGGCCGGCCGGGAGCCCGGGAGGTGGGCCCGGCGCCCGCCTCTCTCTGTCCTCGGGTCCCCATGGAGTCAATAAAAGCGCCTGCAGAGCCCTGTGTGGCCCTAACCCGAGCGCCCTGGGAGCGCACCCGGCGCGGGGTCCGCTTCAGCAGTCTATCTTCGCCCAATCTACAGCGGGCGGTACAAAACCGCACAATGGGAAAGCTGGGAGCCGGAGATGTTAGAGGCGTGCATATTAAAAAGGGACAGAGAAAGGATCGCGGGGACAGAGAGAGGGGAAGAGGGAGAAGGGGCCCGCCCCCCACCCCTCGCCCCACCCCGCACCATTCAGCGCGCTTATCGCGGGCAGTGAATCCCGGAGTCAGGCAGAAGTCTCCTTGGGGTTTTGTTGGGCCTGTCACTGGGTCCCTTTGTCATCCGCGGGCTCCATGCTGGATTCCATATGGCCAGCTGGGCCGAGGGAGCGCGAGGAGGGATCCGCACAAAACCTAAATTGTGTCCGGCTTTCAAACCCTGTATTGTTGTCTGTGAAAGGAAGACGCATTAAAAATTCGTGCTATATCTATTGGGGAGGAGGTTGGAGGAGGGGAGAAAAAGCCACCCCTGTCTTTGATGGCTTCGGAGGGCGCTGGCCCCGCCTAGGCCCCGTGACACTGAAAGCTGGATCTCTCTCATTCTCTCTCTCTGTCTCTGTCTCTCTCTGTCTCTCTCTCACACACACACATAATCTCTCTCTCTCCTCTCGTAATCTCTCTCTACTTTCATAGTCTCTCTTTCTCTCATGATCTCCTTCTCTTCCTCTCTTCTCTCTCCTTGACTCTAACGCTGGGACGGGAGTCAGCGAACCTGCACCTTCAGGGTTTGGGCTCACTTGTGCGCACTTTGCTCGCTCCTGTGTGTGTATCAAGAAACTCCTGCCTAGGAGCTCTGCGCCGTCGGGCCATCCTAGAACTCGGGGGGCAACTCAGGGTACCCAGGGACCCTACCGACGGGTCCTGAAGCCCCCGCGAGCGGAGCTGCCTTTCCACTCACTGCGAGAAAGGTTTTGAGAGGCCAAGGGTGCCGCTCAGTCCGGGGCCCAGTTAGACTTGGGCTGCAGCCGGTTCCAAGGCGACTTGCCCCCAGCCAGGCCACTTGGTTAAGTTACCAACCCCAAAGAGCTAAAGACGCGCGTTCATTTGAATTATGCTCGGGGATCCAACCCACTGGCCTCTTGGTGAGACGGGAAACCACTTCCCAGAACTTCCTCCACCAGCGTCTCTCCTCAGGTTGTAGGACGGAGATAATTCCTCTTTATTTTTCAACGCCTCCTGTATCGTGTGCTTACAAAATTCAGCACCAGGGAGACACAGCAGGGCTTCCAAGGAATTTGCCCATTTTTTGCCTCCTCTAAGCGGTCCAAGTTGGCGCGAGGCAGTCGGAAATAATTTGGGTCATGCTTTCTCCCCTGCAATTGCCAGGTCAAAACTCCCATAAGCAATTCCCAAATAAACAATATGTACTAAGCAAAAATAGTTTATGCTGAGCTGTGCGGAAATATAAAATGGAACCCAGTTATCTTCCCCACAGACAAAGTCACTCAACCCTTAATAAGCAGAACTGAGCTGGTGGAAATTCCGACCAATGGGAAACTTGGATGCGCCCCCTTTCCTATTTAGTACAATGGTCATATTTAGTAGAATCAGATAATTGGGTACGAGTGGAAGCCCCCCTTCTCAACGTTCCCCACCTCAGACAGGGAAATAACTTATTTCCTTACCTATTGACTGTTGGGCTTAGTTGAGACCTGGTGTGGATTTCTCGAGCCTTTTCAAGAGCCTGGTCATTGAAAAGCTAATCCAATATTTACCGAGCATAAGGACAGTTCTCAGACGTATTTATTAAGGCCCATCGCTAAGTGATTACTTGGACTGAAGACAAAGGCCAGGGGAGGGGGCGTCTAGGCGCACCAGATCCTGCCCCTGTGGGCTCTCCCCACCCGGAACCAGGAAGCCGGGAGCAAGCTTGTGCGGTGCTGACGTTCCCCTCCCGGTGTTAAGTGGCGGGCGGATTAGATACTGTGCTGGGCGGTATTTCAGGAAATATGTACTTGTGGCTTCCTGAGAGGCCAGGCGCAGTGACACTCTAAACCGTGTCGATATATCATCTTTTATCCAGGATCTGCAAATAAACCCCTGATCCCCTCGGCGCATTATAGCCGCCGCTATCTTGCCAAGGAAGCGATCTGAGTTTTATTGCTTTCACCAACGCCCCAAGACAGACAGACACACACACACACACACACACACACACACACACAACACACACACACACACACACACTCCCCTCTCGCACTCTGATTTTTAAAGCCTCTATTTTTCCCCCTCCCGAGGCATCGTTATTAATAAAGACGCGAATAGGCCTCAGCGCCGCCAACCGAGCAAGTGGGGAAATGCGGGCCCGCAGCCCTGGCCCGCGCGCGGATCCCGCGTCCGCCCCACGCCCCGCCACTGGCCCGAGAACCGAGTGTGTGCCGCGCGCTACCGCCGCCAGGAGGCGCCCGAGCCCCGCGTTACCGAGCGTCTCCGCGCCGGGCCGGGCCGAGCCCAGAAGGCAGCTGCGCAGCAGCGGAAGCGCGGCCCGGGTCGGAGCAGGGTGAGGGGGCCAGGAGGCGGCGGCGGCTCGAAATCCTGGGGAGAGCCGCGAGTCGGACGGCGGCGGGTGCGCGGCCGCCTGGGAGGTGCGAGTGGACCCGTCCCCGCCGTGCCCCTCCTCCACGTGTACCGCCGCCCGTCCCCGCCCCGGTTTCCATAGTGTTTGGGCACAGACCACAGCCGACTGGTCCAGGCGCCAGGGCGCGCGGTCTCCGTGATCTCAGGGCCCCTGGCGGCGTCGGCCCGGCGGTGGACGCGGGGAGGGCAGTGCTGCGAGGGCCGGGGAGTGGGCGCCCGCGTGGGGAGGCGGCCCAGGGAGCGCAGGAGCGATGCGGAGGAGGGACCCGGTTTTGGTGCAGGTTCGCGGGCGGGGATTCTGGGAAGGAAAGACCCTCGCCTCCCGCCCGCCCTGGACGTGGGTCCTGCCAGACCCCCAGTTCCTGCGGTTCCCCGCCTGGGAGCGGGGCAGGGGCACCGTCCAGCCGCCAGGGGGAGACGCCGCGCCAACCCCGACCGTGGGGTCCGGCCCGGGAGGCAAGAACCCCACCCACCCAGCAGAGCACCCAGGGCAACTCCCCACTCGGTGCTGAGGCCTCAGCTAGGGCGCGGGGTGTCCGGGAATGGAAAGGACACGAGGGTGTGGGCGCCTCTCGCCTGGTGCCTGGTGCCTTTCCGAGAGGCTGGCCGTAGGGCAGCGAGTAGGGGACAAGGGAGCGACATTCCCCAAGGTCCTCCCCCAACAAAAGTCGGGTCTGCAGTTCCAGCGTGATTCGTTGATTGTTGGGTGGAACCGCTTCGCATCTAATGTATCGTGGCTCCAAACACTGACCCCTTTACTTTCCGAAGCCCCCGCTTCAAAACCAGCTGGCGGTGGGCTGGCGAGGGCGTGCAGTAGCCAGGCTTTCCGCGGGGCGGCGCGGTTGGATAAGAAAAGGCTTCCCGGCTGAGCAGTGGAGCGCAGCTCCGACACCTGCGGGATTCCAGATGTCCCTGCGAGGTGTCCTCTACAGCAGGGCTGCATTCCCCAAATAATGAACTCTCTGCTTTTGCGCTTGGCGCCTGGAGTGCGATGAAGAGGCTGAAGGTATCCAGCCCAGCCCTTCTCCCCTCCCTCCTCAGGCTGCTGATGTGACATGGTTGTAATTGTCACCAGCCCAGCCCTTCTCCCCTCCCTCCTCAGGCTGCTGATGTGACATGGGTGTAACTGTCACCCTGCGCAGGACGTGGAACACTTATCACCCCAAAATGTTCCCTTCTAATGGAATAACGTGTTCTCTCCTAACAAAAGAATACCTCAATACTTACAGGTATCAACTGCACGCTGCAGATGAAAAATCCTGTCCTCCCTTTGTTGCTTGTGGTATTTTTACCTTTCTTCATAAAATGGTACAAAGAAAGCCCCAGGTCGCTGACCCCAGCCTCTCTCGCACCTGAAGACAATGATCATCGCTGCTCCCGCATACTGAGCACCTTCTAGGGCAGGCACCTTTCTCCCTGCTTCTCATTGTCTAATCAGATCATCATAGCCAAGCTGTCCTTCTGCAGAGGAGCCTGTTTCAGAGAAGTTAAGCACCTGATCTCATAATCAAGCCAGTGTTCTGACAAAAGCATCTTGGGAGCAGAAGTGGGATCTACCAGGGCATCATCTACTATTCCAGCATAGTGGGCAGGGATGAGGGAGGACAGAGATCCCCTCCCACTCTACAGAAGGCAGTTGGGTGGCTTCTTCACTGGGCGGGTTCTGCCAGCTCTTCTCTGGCAGCCAGTGCCCAGGTCCTGGCCTGGGTGGTGAGGGCTGGGCAATCCCTTGGCATCCTCGGGGAAGCCTGCACACCGGCACCTCCACTGGGTGTCAAGTGGCCATCCCAGCCAGCAAGTGTCCCCTGAGAACTGAGGGGGAGCAGCCTGGGGGTCCGGCTGAAGGGCACACTTTAACCTGTTCTCACTCCTGGGCCCCGGCTTTCCATGATGTCGACGGCATGAGCAACTCCCCTCTCCCCCCAGGATGATAAGGGGTACAAGAAAAATTGATTTTTGGGGCCGGGCACGGTGACTCAAGCCTGTAATCCCAGCACTTTGGGAGGCCGAGGCGGGTGGATCACGAGGTCAAGAGATAGAGACCATCCTGGTCAACATGGTGAAACCCCGTCTCTACTAAAAATACAAAAAATTAGCTGGGCATGGTGGCGCGTGCCTATAATCCCAGCTACTCGGGAGGCTGAGGCAGGAGAATTGCCTGAACCCAGGAGGCGGAGGTTGCGGTGAGCCAAGATCGCGCCATTGCACTCCAGCCTGGGTAACAAGAGCAAAACTCTGTCTCAAAAAAAAAAAAATTTGATTTTTAAATTGCCAACTGATCTTACCACTGTAATTAAATGATTACTTTTTTTTATCTAATGTGGGGAAAGATAAAATAAGCTAACATGTTCTTTTGGGTATGGTATTTCCCTAATCTGAGAGATTTGCAAGTTTTTTTTTTTTTAAATAGGATCTCACTCTGACACCCAGGCTGTAGTGCAGTGATGCTATTATAGCTCATTGCAGCCTTGAACTCCTGGGCTCAAAAGAGCTTCCTGCCTCAGCCTTCCCAAGAGCTGGAACCACAGGCGTGCACCACCATGCCCAGCTATTTTTTATTTTTGTGTAGCAATGTGGTCTCACTGTGTTTCCCAGGTTGGTCTCAAACTCCTGGCCTCAAGCTATCACCTGGGCCTCCCACAGCACTGGGATTACAAATATGAACCACTGTGCCCAACCACAAGAATTATTAAGTATGTACCAGGTCTCTCCATGTTTCTTTAACTCTGCAAGCTACACAATAAACGAATTGCCTCATCAGCCTCTGTGGGGAAGGTGAATTGTATGGATGAGTATGAAACGAAGGACAGTGAGACGTAGAAGGTAAAACAAAAGGAATCAGCTTTTTGTGTCTGTGATGATCTGATCACAAGGCACCTCTCAGAAATATCCAGTCCTTGTCACCCAGTGAGCAGCCAGCTGCTTGAGCAGAGAGCCGTGGCTGGAACTCCTGCTCTGTGACTCTGGGGAGGAAGCAGAGCTTGCGCGGGATGCAGCTGCTGCCCACAGCCCCTGCGCACTCCCTCTTCCCTTGTGCCGGCTTCACACTGCCAGCATCTGCAAGGCTCTGCCTGGAGGCAGAGCACGAGGCTGCTGGGCCCCTTAGACAGATGGCTAGTGCTGAGGAGTTCATGGTCTTCACCCAGTTTCAGGGAGAGGTTGCAGGATACACAGCCTAGCTTCCTGGCTCCAGGTGGAACAACCCTGAGACATGTGTGCCATTTCCCACAGGCCCCCAGTGGGGCTGAGCCCTAGTTGCCTTCAGCCACAGTCTGCTCATTATCACTTCCAGTGTTCATCTTTTTCCCTTCACTTTCTCATTTTTCCATTTCCTTGTTGGCCCCAATTAATTACTTGCACATGAATCTTTATCTCAGGGTCTACATCTGGGGAGCCCAAAGGCACAGACACTTGGACTCTTCCTCTGCCTTTATCCTAGACCTGGCATTGGTCTCCAGAGGTCACTCAGGACTTACTGGCCCATCTTTAATGGCTCTTTCCCTGCGTTTACACACCTTTCTGTGCTAAGTAGGGTTTTTGGGTGGCAAGAAGGCAGTTAGCATGGGGAACTATGTAGCAAGGGACATGGACACTGAACAGCAGCCGGCCCATCACTCTGGTTCCTCATGGCCAAGCCTGGGACACAGCTCCCCATGTGCAGATCCAGAACCATGGCTCTTCTTCCCTCAGGAGCCATCCTCAAATGATGGTCTTTTCCCATCACAAAGGAGCTCCCAGAATGTGGCAGTCCCCCTTCCTAGAGGGAGAATGTGGCTAGGTCGAGGAGGCACCTCTGGTTTTCAGAGACCCCATTGGTCAGGTTCGGTGTCCAAAACACCTGAGGGGCAAGTGGGTTCTTGAAAGTCCAGCCCACATGGTTACTTTTGACCTGGACACTCAAGGCACAGGGACACATGACACAGGCACAGGGTGTAACAACTGTGTGCAGAAAGAGCCACTCTCATTCCTCAGAAGAGCCTGTGGAGGTGGAGTGGCTGAGCCATGTGCCCCAAACTCCGTGTTGAAGTCCTAACCCCTATGTTCAAATGTGACCATATTTAGACTTAGGGCCTATAAAGAGCTAATGGTGAAAATGAAGTCACGAGGTAGGTCCTACTTCAGTGTGACTGGTGTCCTTGTAAGAAAACAGGGTTCAGACAGACAGAGGGGAGAGCACGTGAGGACACGGGGAGGAGATGCCACCTGCAAGCCACGGAGAGAGACCCCAGGAGAAACTGGCCTTCCCGACACCTTGACCCTAGACCTCCAGCTTCCAGAACTGTAAGAAAATACATTTCTGCTGTTTAAGCCACCTGGTGTTAGAGTTCTGTCTTGAATTTCTCTCTGCTTTAGACTTTTCTGTTTCGTTTCTTAGTCTAAGTTCTACTGAAAAGTGCAGAGAAGATGAGTGCAGGCCCCTAGAGACAGGATGGATGCAGTACATGTCTGGCTCCAGCTCAGCACGTGCTCTTGGTGCCCACTGATCCGTCTCACTGCTGACTGGCATCCCGAAGAAATGGGCAGACTGCACAGGGGCAGCTCTTTCCTCCAAAGCTGCAACATGGTGCATGAAGTCCTCAGATTTGGGAACGCGTCCAGGCGCTTGAGCTCAAACATACAGTTCTGTTCTAAGGCATCACAGCTGAAAAACTCCACAAAGGTGAGCTTTCCCCCGGAGACCGTGAGGATTTCCTCAGGAACAAGGAGAAATGTCGCAGCCGGGCGTGGAGGCATCCGTGTTTTACGGGCAGGGTCTGTTTCCGCCGCAGGTAGGAATCCACCGTGTTGTTCTCCCTGATGCCTGCTGCACCTCTCCTTCAGTCTTGGCACTCTGAAACAGCGTGCTTGCGAGCACCAGTGGACGATCCTGTCCTGTCTGTGAGGTGGACACATTAGGAATGTCCAGGTCTAGCCTGAATTTCACATCCAGCCATTGGCTGCCACCATGGTCAGGGGCTCCTGCACATGGACCGCCACTTCCCCTCCCAGGAGCCGGCAGGTGGCCAGCAGCCCCAGAACGCCCTGGGCACCTGTCCCCATAGGCTTGGATGACATGATGATGTTCTTTGTGCCTTTGAGGCTGGCGCCCTAGGTCTTTGTATAGTAAATCCCACCTTGTCCTCTCTAGTTGAAACAGCCATTTCCCAAATTCCAATCTGATGCAGCCCTGTCCTTCCTTCCCTCGTGTTTCTTCCTTCCCTCCTGTGGACTCCCAGGATGTGAAGTTGGCATTCCCTTGAGCCTTTTGGGAACATATAAGCATACTGCCCAAAGTCCGCCTAACTCCAGGTGTATCCTGTAGAACCAGCATTCTAATTCCTAATTTTAAAGATCTCACAGGACACAGGGTGTGTGTAAAAAGCTGCAAACTAGAGCGCTTGATTTGAGTATGAATGAGATGGAGGAAAGCAGCTGTGGATGCAGATGATGAATCCCTGAGTAAGTGACTCCAGAGCCAAAGGTGTTCTTCACATGGAGAGAACGACTACCCAGGGAAGGAGCTCAGACTCAGCTGGACAAGCCCTGAGGGGACAGCCATGTCCCAGTTCGGCCAGGAGGGTTTGGCTCACTGGGCGTGTGCCTGGTGTCTGCTTGATTCTCCTCCGGCCGAATTCTACACAGGTGAGTTGCGCTCGTTCTTGCCTCCCCAAGGCCTAGATCAGAGTTCCTCCAGCTTTGGGGTGCAAACGAATCCCCCGGAATTTTCATGAAATGCAGATTCGTGTTCAGAAGCCCTGGCGTTCTGCATTTCTCATGAGCTCCACGGGCTGCTGACGCTGCTGGGGCATGACCACACTTTGGGTGGCAAGGGGTTGGCAAGCAATTCCAGGTGTCCCCTTAGAGATGGCCTGCTATCGCACTGTCAGGAGGTAGCTGCCACAGTGACGGCCACTCCAGAGCAAGGGGGCAGAACCTTTTGAATCCTTGAATCATTTGGGAAATAACCCATATGAGTAAAAAGTAATCAAAAAGTAATATGTTGGATATTAGAGCCAAAGGAAATACTAGCATCATTTTGTAATGACTCCTTCCACGAGTTTTCCAGATGAGGAAACTGACAGAGCCAGGTGGCCTGTGGCTGAAGAGGGAGACGCTCAGTGAGGTCTCACTGCTGCACCTCCACAGTGATACCCTGCTGAGACACAAAGGAAATGTTGAACGTAACTGTCTTTAAAATTAAGACCGTGACTGTCCTGAACATTTACAAAGCACAAACCATGAGAAAAAGGCCTGTACCAGAAATCAGAAGATGGCTTTTGTCCACGTGCAACCTTGGACAAGTTAGTTACTTAACCGTGCCCTCTAAGCCTGTTTCCCCACTGGTTACCAAAAAAAGAAAGAAAGAAAGAAAGAAAAGGCTATGCCTGCCCTGGCTAATTCAAAGGGCACGGCAGGGAGGGAGGTAGATAACGTCCTGAGCCACTTAAAACGGTGGAGCTGAACTCACGGTGGGAGCACTGTCACACACCTTTTCATTACAAAGATGTTGGTGGGCTGAGGGAGGTGGAGAGAGGCCCAAGGATGGGAGCAAAGGGGTGGGCTGAGGGGAGGGGAAGGAGGAAGCCAGAGAGACAGGCCCAGGCTAGGCTCCGAAGTCAGCAGGTGAGCGGGGTAGAACTAGCAGCACCCTCTCTGTGGGTATTTGCAGGGATGGAATGTACTGCGTCTGTGCTCTCCAATGTGGCAGCCGCTAGCCACATGTGACTGTCAAGCACTGGCTGTGTAGCTAGTGTGATTGAGGAACTGATTTTTAATTTTTTTAGTTGTTTGTCCAGTGGCTCCTATAGCAAAGATCCAGATGATTTGTTTGAAGCAGTACAAGGAGAAGTGTGACTCCCCTCTTCTTACTCCAGTAACATGCTGATTAACATCATTGCAATTAATCACCATTCACAGCTCTTCAGTTGCTCTGTGGAACCTCAGCCGACTCTGAAATGCACAGCCACTGTGGCAGGGGTGACCGAATGGGCTGGGAGTGGCAATGAAGATTCATCTCTTCACACACTCTTTATACCCTCAACAAAAACGCCTGAGGCTGTGTAAAAGTCCATCAATAATAAAGAGATTTTTTAAATATGAGTCTTGATTGATTCCTTACTATATGTCTGTCTGGAATTGGGGTGGGGGGAGGCACAGAGAGGGGCTGAAAGCACTCAGAAATGGCCATTACTGCTAGCTGGAGGGACGAATGAGGCCACCTTCCAGAGGTTCTTAACCCTTTGTGCCCCACAGGCCCCTTTGCCAGGCTAAAGAGTTTTGTAGAACCCTTCTCAGAAGAATGAGTTTAGGTTATAAAGTAAATTAGATTAAGATATAATTCTACCCCTTGGAAATGAGGGACTGCAGATTAAGGACTCTTACCTTAAGAAGAGTGATGGAGTCCCTTTGCTTAGGCACCCCTGCCCCTCCCCCACCAGCTGCCCTTTGTGCCAACCCTGGATGAGTGGAGGAGAGGACCAACCAGGACTTCTCCCTTTCTTGGAAAGGCAGAGCCATGGAAGGCAGAGCACTGCTCTCTGTGTCAGAGCCTCTGTGGTCGCCGTGGACTATGGCACGGTGAGACAGCAGAAGGAACAGTATTGGAGGAACGGTATTGGAGGTAGCATTTTGGTCTTAATGGGCCTGTAGGTTGGGTGAGGGGCTAAAAGACAGGCTGCAGTGTTTGCTGTTATGTTAACCCTTCCCCACTCCCATCTCCTTTCTGTGAACATAATGGCATTTCATAAAATTTGGGATACTGTCAGCAACAGGAGAAAATAATTTAGCAAGGCAAATTGAAATACCACTCTTGATGCAAACACCCTTTCAAAGTTTACCACCCTGATCCTGTGCAGCTGGACAAAGGCATTCTGAACACTGCTGTCCAGCACCTTCCCCAGATGCCCTGGGTGAAATGAAAGACGCTCTAGTGGAGACTTGGCTGGTCAGGCCAGAGAGGCTGCCTGTGCAGGGGCTGCTGAAGCAATGACCCACCTGGGTTAATTAACCAATTGAGGAAGCGGATGACAATCCCTCTTGCAGCCATAACCCAGAGGGTTTACATGCAGAGCCCCAGATCATAAACGAGGCAATCCACACTTGTGCGCATCCTGACTGTTAACGAGTATAAAGTTGGAAGATCATGTTCTGATTTGAGCTCAACTATGTGGCTGAAAAGTATGAGAAGACAATACTAAAGACTGCTTTAATAAAAATACCGAATGTTATATGTACCAGGAAGTTATCCATTCTTATATTATTTTTACTTTTTGTTTCTCCAACATTTATAATATATACATTTATGCCACAATATAACCTTCACGAATTCTGACAAGGCTGGGCTTAAAAGCAAATTTATTTCTTTAAACATTCTAATACACCATCCGTTTAAAAGGTTCTTCAGATTTTACAAGGCATGAAAGTTATTCAAATAGAATTTGGATGAATATGTTAATGCCTGCTTAGTAATGGAATGAAGCTATTCATTCATGGTTGGGGCATATACTAAAAACATACTTTTGCATTTAATATCAACATTTTAGAGATCTCCGCTGAAAATTTCAGTGAAATCTGTTTCTAAAATGTATTATGGGCCATTTCCTGTTCATAAAAGTAACACAATATGCCATACCGTTTTGTACACAATAAAACTCTTAATAAGCATTAAAAATATGTGTCCTTTCTGAGGTAAATAAACCATTTAAATGCAGTGCGAATAACACCAGGATGAAAAGCCGTCTCTGAGGAGTAGGACGAGGCAATTTAAACTGCTCATTTTGTGCCTCCAGATTGTTTGAATGTCTGTTTTTACATCCAAAACTCCAACAATAATGATGAACAAGAATAGCTAAACATGTACCTTTTCAAACAGTTAATCAGAAAAATAAAAGGCAGTGATTTGAGACATAAAATTCTGAAGCTATTCCAGATGACTTTTTAATATGAACAAATATTCCTGACTGTGCAAATCCTTTTATATCAGACTTCAGAAAATAAAGGATATTACTAAGCAAAACCTACCCATCTTTTAAAAATTGGATTATTTGGCCGGGCGCAGTGACTCACACCAGTAATCCCAGCACTTTGGGAGGCCAAGGCAGGTGGATCACCTGATGTCAGGAGTTTGAGACCAGCCTGGCCAACATGGTGAAACCCCGTATCTACTAAAAATACAAAAATTGGCCAGATGTGGTTGCTCATGCCTGTAATCCCAGTTACCTGGGAGGCTGAGGCAGGAGAATTGCTTGAACCCGGGAGGCGGAGGTTGCAGTGAGCGGACATTACACCACTGCATTCCAGCCTGGGCAACAGAGCAAGACTCCCTCTCAAAAAAAAAAAAAAAAAAAAAAAAGATTTTTTATTAATTCCAAACTCACTAAAGACTACCCAATAATTGATTATACTCTTGAAAAAACGCAGTTTGCACTATTTAGATGAAATTTAAGGAGCCTGACCCTTTTTTGTTCTTTTACTGTGTGCCGTCGTTTTCACCCTAAGGTGAGGAAGTGGTCCCCAGCTTACTTAAAGCAAAACAGTTCCCCTTCTCCCCCGCCACTGGCTGCCCTCTAGGTCTTTCCTCATCCATTAGCAGCACAGCCTTCTCTTCAGACTCATAAGCTGACAAAATACTTCAAGGACATCTGCATTCATAGGCCTGGTTAATTTCTTCTCTGTCATTCCCCCAAGTCCAGGCAAAGCATTGAGCACAGCACTGAGCTGGAAAGCACTGAGTACAGCACCTGTCTGTTGTGGGTGTTTAGTACAAATCCTCTCTTTTATTATCTTCCTATTACTACCATTACAAGTATTTGAATGGGAAGCACTGGTTTAAAGTCCTGACTGGCCAGGCGCGGTGGCTCACACCTGTAAATCCCAGCACTTTAGGAGGCCGAGGCGGGTGGATCACCTGAGGTCAGAAGTTCAAGACAAGCCTGGCCAACATGGTGAAACCCCATCTCTACTGAAAATACAAAAAATTAGCCAGGCATGGTGGCACGCATCTGTAATCTCAGCTACTCAGGAGGCCGAGGCACAAGAATCACTAGAACCTGGGAGGCAGAGGTTGCAGTGAGCCATGATCGTACCACTGCACTCCAGTCTGGGTGACAGAGGGAGACTCTGTCTGAAAAATAAAATAAAGTCCCAGCTCTGTGATCAACTAACCTGAGTTTATGTTCTGAGGAATACTGGACTACATTAAATGTGATCGTTCGCATAAAGCCTTCAGCACGGGTTCTGGTTAAGTAACTCTCAATAAGTATCAGTTATTAATTTTATTAATAACAGTTATTAATGAGTATCAGTGAATTTTATTAATAACAGGTACCAGTTAGTCTTCTTATTTTTAGTTTTTTCCACCAGTCTTGGCTGGTTCTACATATTATTTCAAAAAACCTTTGTAAATGTGGTTTTATACATTCTTGCTTTAAAACATGACGTGGTGATCACTACCATTCACTTCTCTGGCTGGGTGCTTGCCCCTGCCACCTATTCCTCCGCTGCAGACCTAGAACAGCCTTCTGACTTAGCCCAGAAAATCTTTCCATCTGCACTAAACGAACCACGCCTCTTTCCTACCGTGGTGCCCAATTCCCAGGTTTCCTTTCAATTAATGGAGGGGTTTAGTCCCGTGCACCCACCCCACTCCTCAGCTTGTCTGGCGGTGACTCAAGGGCAGAATCCGAGTCCCAGTCCTAGTAGGCACTCAATGTTCAGTGTTGCTGATGAAAGAAGATGAGGAAATGCTACAAAGCCCACAAAGCATGGTAGAAATGAAAGGTGTTAATTAAAATGTCACTCTTACATAGGTTATGAATCATCACGGTCAGGGAACTCTGAGGTGCATTAACAAGGAATCCAGGATCCTTCCAGGTGACCCGTCTTTCTTCCTGGCATTTGTCACCTAATGAATCTTGAACATGGAGCCTGTGAGAGCTCTGGTTTAATAAGAATCCAAGTAATAGGCTGTACTCAGCTCTCCTGAAAAAGTTAGCAGAGGAGAGAAGTGGCCTCTGAAAAGCCCCAGACTAACGCTCTGGAAAGCAAAGGAGTTTCTCAAATAAAAATACACACCCGTACCAGTCTCCCCAATGTCAGTACCTTAGTGACTCTTAAAACTTCTTACACTGCTGGTGGGAGTGTAAATTAGTTCAACCATTGTGGAAGACAGTGTGGCGATTCCTCAAGGACCTAGAAATAGAAATTCCATTTGACTCAGCAATCCCATTACTGGGTATATATCGAAAGGATTATAAATCATTCTACTATAAGGACACATGCACATGAATGAATGTTCATTGCAGCACTGTTTACAATAGCAAAGACCTGGAACCAACCCAAATGCCCATCAATGATAGACTGGACTTGGAAAATGTGGCACATATACACCACGGAATATTATGCAGCCATCAAAAATGATGAGTTCACATCCTTTGTAGGGACATGGATGAAACTGGAGACCATCATTCTCAGCAAACTGACACAAGAACAGAAAATGAAATACTGCATGTTCTCACTCATAGGTGGGTGTTGAACAATGAGAACACATGGACACAGGGAGGGGAGCACTACACACTGGGGTCTGTTGGGGGGAATAGGGGCGGGACAGCAGTGGGTGGGGAGTTGGGGAGAGATAGCATGGGGAGAAATGCCAGGTATAGGTGAAGGGGAGGAAGGCAGCAAATCACACTGCCACGTGTGTACCTATGCAACTATCTTGCATGTTCTTCACATGTACCCCAAAACCTAAAATGCAATTAAAAAAAAAACTTAATCAGGTTGTATAAGCCTTTGTTCATTTTTCTCTCTGGTGTTAAGGCAGCCTTATTTTTAATTTTTTAAAAATATATTTATTTATTTTATTTTTTTCCCTCACCTATAATGCCAAATTTGATAACAAAGACAGCTTTAACCAAAGAAAAACACCACTAGGTTTTCTACAATGCTTTTAAAAGTCAGGATTTAGGATCTGCTACAAAAAGATGTCAGCTGGACAAATGCAAAGTTCTTTTCCACATACTCATAATTACGTTTTATAATATGCTAGTGAATGTTTACTTTTATAATATCAATGGCACATTTTGTCTACAGGGCAAGCTTTG